GCATTATTGGTTATAAATTCTGATTTTGTTCATTTTCGTAGGTCAACTTCTTGGCCTTGGATCAGCATGCTCTGGTGCTCGAATGAGGTGAAGATCTTCATGAAACTTGTTCCAATGGATGTGGACTACAACATATCCAAATTTGAGCTTCATTGGACAAGTATAGCCTATCCAACTGATCCTACATGTTACAGCAGCTCTAGAGAATTGTCTTGCTCCAGCTTTTACCTCCATAACTTTCATCTTGATTCTTCTTGTTACCATACCATTTGGTAACAAGAAATTACTTTGGTTGAGAGATATTATCTGAAACAAAGAGCATATTTGAGAAGACAAGAACAAAAGAACCCCATCATGGCAAGGGGACAAAGGCTAAGGCTTTAACAAAGGTGGTAGTTTTATATTAAAAGTAAAGCTGAAAAGCAAGGTGAAGGATGGGCAAAGGAGCAAAGGGAGTGCAATCTGATTGGCATTCTATCATTCTACAATTTGCAAAGATTTTTGGGAGCTTGGAGCTAGAGAGCTCAAGGAGGAAGACAAGGGCAACCAAGCAAGAAGTGGAAGAGATTTCCACCATTGAAGACCTTGAGCTCCCACCATTTTCACAAAATCTGTAAACTCTTTCTAGTTACATTTTAAGTTTGTATTGGAAATATTCATAATAAATTTAAAATAAATCCAAAAAATGCAATGTCAACTCCTATGAAGTCATTGAGATATTTTCTTCCCCCTTAAGCTTAAAAAAATGCAGTTTGAATTATACAAATTTAAAATGACCACCAAAAAGAAAAATGTTTTCATGAGTCACAACATCACTTATACTTTAATGGTTTAGGGTTTAGGGTTTAGGGTTTAAATAATTTTAGAAAAGGGATTAGGGATTAGGGTTTTATGGACGAGATATTTTAGGCCCTAAAACCCTAATCCCTTTTCTAAAATTATTTTAAATATATATATATATATAATTTAGGTTTTATTTATTAGGGTTTAGGGTTTAGGGTATATTTGTCTATTTAATTTTCTGTTCATTCCACCCTAAACCCTAAACCCGTT